ATACACGGTGATTCTTTTTCTACACACTCATTGGAACAAATCGATCTTACTCTAAATGCCAGACACCTGATTATATTACGTTCGTACTTCATCGGTACAAAGCTGAAAAATTGCCTATACTGTGACATAGACGTTAGTTTTCTATATATACTCCTCAGTATAGAGCCATCTTTTCTTGTCATTAGCATATCAAGAAAATGTATCGAATCATTGATTTCATTTTCGTATATAAAATGAATTGATGGGTAGGCGCTATTGAAATGGTTCGGAATAAAATTACCTAACAAAGACTAAAAAAGTATCATCCATATATCAACAGTACAACTCCATATTTGCAATTTGATTTTTCAAAGGACAGTTTTTCAATCTTGCCAAAAATATGTCTGCAGATATTAGGCCCAACGGAGATCCCATAGTCACTCCGTCAACTTGTCATTACAGATTACCGTTGGAGATGAACTGGACATTCATTGTAAATTTTAGCAATAGTTCGTTCAAATTCATGAAAGGAATGGCATAGTCTAATTTCCTTTTCAATAATTTTTAACAAATATGATCGATAGTTTCCATAAGAGGGACGTTAGTAAACAAAGATGTGACATCTAGGGATTTCATGCACTTGTTTAAAGTATTCAAGTTTTTTATTTTGTCTACAAACTGGAAGGTATCTTCTACGCTTTATTTTGCTAACTGGTCACGCAAAGGTTGAAGTAATCGTACTAGCCGTTTAGCAATAACATGGTAAGGCGAGTTGGTCATGTCTAGGGTAGGGCGAAGAGGTACGTCAGGTTTGTGTATTTTAGGTAGATTATACATCCGTGAAATCGTGCTGCCTATAAGCTTCAAATTTTTAAATAAGGATGGTGAAATGTATCCATCATCTTTCAGTTTTTTTCGTGAGATGATTAGGTCCTTTTCTGCCTTTTCGGTTAGGCCTTTCGTTGACTGTACTTTCTGAGATTTGCATTCGCCTTACAACATTAAATCCATTTTCTGTACATAAACAACTCTGTCCATGATTACAACTCCATCTCCTTTATCAGGTCTTGTGGTGATGGTGTTCTCATCCTTTCTGAGTCTTTAGGTAGCTTCACGATGCTCTCCAGTCAATATGTTTCTTGATTTATTTTTACCGTTTTTAAATGATAGCAATAGTCCATTCTTCACTTGACTAATCGCATAGTTTAAAGTTGCTCTTCAAATTTCCGGAAATCTAACTGTCGAAAGTGTTTTCGTAATCAATAGTTCATTGTTGGATGATATTAAAGTTCAAAAGTACAGACCACTGGGATTAATTTAGATTAAATCAACTTAAAATGCTTCTTCATTAATGTCGATTATCTGTATTTACATTTAGTAGTATTCGAATGAGTAGCGGAATTCTGCATGTATCGGAATCCCAGCAGCCACTTGAAAAAGTTGATTATTGTGGACCCAAACAAAGATTTCTAGGTGGTTTATCGAATTCCCTCAAATATTTCATGTTTCCTTAGTCGTCAACTTCTAAAAACAACAGAGGTCTTGACTGTCCATGAACTCAAGTCTGAACTTTGTGCGCAGAAGAAGTAAATCCAGTATTCTTCCTTAACTCGGTCTTAATTTTTATTGCTTTCTTTCGTTTCGTCTTTTCACCTTATCGTTATCAGTATTATTTTTGTATTTGCTAGTTTCCGATCTTGCTTCATCGAATCTTCTCAATGGTTGCAAATTTCAACAAAGCATTTTCATTTTATTATGCTTTATATTACTTAATCGTTTCTTTGTTTGTTAGCTCTACTACGTATTCACCCTTTTGTAATATGTACGAACCACGTGAAAAAATCTTAATTAACACTTTTTCGAAGTTAAAAGGCATTTCAATTTGACGCAGTATTCATCATGGACTGACATCAGTTGGGGAATCATTGAAAACCTGGGAACATTAGTCAGCTTTCTCATCCTACTATGCGACTCCTCTGAAGTGCATACTCATAATCCGACTAGGGATCCAACCTAAGACCATCACGTTTCACGACGAACAAGTTAACCATTCAGCCACTGCATCGGATTTCAATGCTTCACAGTTTCCAACTTCTCTCACTTCTCGATTTAGTGCGACTATCTATCAAGGTCTTCAATTGGCATCCACTTCCCTTCCGACCGGTTAACCTCACAGGTCACAACTTGTCATTACAACTTTGTGATATATGCATCTGGAAGCATGTCACTAATGAGCACTATACAATGATGTATTTTGAGGTTTATGGAGATTTTAATTTTGAGGTAGTATTCATCATGGACTGATAGACTGAATCAATAGAAGTTAGAAACTATGAACCATTGAACTCCGACCCAGTGGGTGAATGGTTGACTCGTTCATCGTGAAACCTGAAGGTCCTGGTTTCGATCCCTAGCCAGTTCTTGGGTTGCGTACTGCTTAGAGGAGTCCCATACTAGGATATGACTCCTTTTTGTTATTATTCAAACTTTGCATCATGAGCTAAAAGCATTATTATAACCATCATTATTGTATAGCTTGCGAATAAATTCGTTGAAAAGAACATTCTCTGCTGTTATAGTGTATGTCATAATGCGAATTATAAACTTATTAATCACTGTTATATTTCCAACTCTGAGGCCTAATGTTGATACATTGGACTATGAAGGTCAGGGTAACTAAACCACAGTTAATTCCTACTCTAATTTATTTTCTACGGATTCTAAATCATTCCTGTGCTGCTTCGTACAAAATGTTTACTTTTTCGGTACTCTGATGAGTTATCGAAAGGTTACTTTCGATTGGAAGAACGATTACCTTATCAAACTCCCAAAGAAGGGAGACCCAACCCTTTGCAAGAACTGGTGCGGAATCATGCTCCTATACACACTAAGGAAAATATTATACCGCATCATCCCGCAAGACTAAGAAATGCTTCGGGTTCAAAATTACCACCGGAACACGCTGGCTGGCTGGCTGGCTTCAGGAAGAACAAATCATGTGCGGATCAAATTGCAACGCTACACTACGCATCATCATAGAACAGAGAGTAGAATGGCATTCAACTGTCTACCTGAACTTCATCGATTTTGAAAAGGCCTTCGACAGCGTCGACTGAAACGTAATCTGGCAGACAGCTGCTTGCTTCAACACTACGGTTTTACTGCCTTAAACCTTTATCAACCTCATTCAACAGCTATATCAGATATGATGTCACATGCGAAGTGATTCACAATGGGAAGCTCAGTGATGATGCCTTTGAAGTGAAGTGGAGACATGAGTAGGAGAAGGTTGCCGCCTACTGTCATCACCGATGATCTTCCTGATTGTGGTCGACTGGATGATGCAAGAAACTGTGAGGAGCGAGGAGATGAGCATACGCTGGTTGGATGGATGGAGAGACCCCACAAGAAGATTTGGATGTCACCGCCGATGATGATTTATGTCTAATGTATTCTGTAGCACAAAGTCGAAGATGTACAGGCAAAAAGCAAGAAGTTGACAGAAGAGGTGAGGCAGCGAAGGAAGACGGGACTTCCTTCAGGTGAAGGTAGAGAAGACAGAGGTGATGAAGATACCTAAGCAACAACAGTATCAACAAGAAACACCAATCACCATGAACGGGAGAAGTCTGAAGGAAGTTGTCTGTTTCACCTACCGCCTATTCAGCATCGTCTCAACTACAGGTGGCAGTGGCAGTGGTAGTGGCAGCGACAGCGATAGCGGCAGCGATGAGGACGTCAAAGCCAGTCAGGATCGGAAAAGCGAGACAGGCCTTGATTAATCTGAAACCAGTATGGAGATCTACTGGACTCAGCATGTGGAACAAGATCGGGATTTTCAGCACCAATGTCAGTCAAGTCAGTCAGTGCTTCTATGTGATGGTTGGTAGACTTGGCGCACCACGCAAAGCATTCCCAACAAAATGCAGACATTCCTCAACAGCTTCTGCCTACACTGACTCGATAGTGAAGATGAAGATCAGATGGATGGCCAGAATAGTGGGGATGAGCAACAAGGAGGTTTGGTCGGACAACGAACCAACTAAGAAGCCATCGCCCAACAAATATGCAGAAGAAGAAAGTGGGTATGGATTGGGTATACACTGAGAAGACCATTTGGGGACATCACGCGTCAGTCTAGGTCGTCGAGAGGATGGGTTGGGTGTCTGAGGGTGATATGGAGATGATGTGAGGAGGAAATTCAAGTTTGTGGGTAATCGTGGCGACAGGTTGAATAGACTGCAGAGAACAGAGTGCAATGCGGACATGCTGTTAAATGCTTATGTTCCACTTGGAACATTATGCCTCAGGCCAAGTCGTCGAGTGGAATCCAAATGTTAAACGACGATTTGGGCGTCCGAGGGGATGGTGACATGGTGGAGATCATGTAAGGAAGCAATGAAAGGTCGTGGTTAGTGATTTAGGCAGCTTGAACAGACTGTAGAGGACATATTGAAATAGTGACGTGCTACTGAAGCTGTGTGTTCCGCTAGGAACTGGAGGGCCAGATAATTATAGTAGTATTCTGTTTATTGCGCTTGCTGTTAAGTTCGATTTCCTAACGTGTTAACAGTTTGAATGTGGTGGACGAAACGTTTTTTGCTTGTGTTAGTTTTCGCTGTAGAACCTATCGAGAAACTGTGTGAAGTGAAGGAAATTCAATCGTGTCTCTAGTCATTGTAATGCATTTGATACCAGGAGACTTCTGCAAATGTAATATTTCTATTGATTTTTAAATTGTATCATCAAGTGAAAAAATTTATACTTTAAAGATATTTGATTCAAGTGCTTTGATACTGGGTGATGGCTGAACGTGACATATAAATTCTGGTCGCTATAGGATTCGAACTAGCTAATGGATATCAGTACAAGTGGAACAAACCATGGATATCTCAAACTGTTACTCTTGAGGATGATAAAAATCTTTTTCACATCACTATTAAATAATATAAATATCCAAAGTAATTTTATTATCTAAATGTTAACTGGGATAAAACTTAATTTCCTTCCTTATTTTGCAGAAAAATAATATGAAACCTAATTGTAATCCAAGCCATTTCCATGATCATAATCATCTTTCATATCATCAGCAACGGAAAACTCCGACAATAATAGCTGTTGAGTTGCATATGGATGGTGATAAAGATGATCTCGATCTTGATTCCACTCCCAGTCATCAAAATCATTTGCAGTCAAATAAATCACACATAATAAGAGGTGATACAAATGTACGATGTGATTCACCGAATGAAGATTCGATGAATCATTTGCCATCATATGAAGTGAGTAGTTTATTTTATTGTAGCCTTATGCATGAATCTGTATTTATTAGTTGAAGTCACTAATTGTGCTCAGTACGAAAACAGTGTGAACATAATATTTCCGCTTGCATAAGATGTATTAAAATTCAGTTATGTAGAAAGTATTTTCATGTTTCAATCTGACCTCCTTCCCAAAAGGTTTTGTTATTTTTACCTTAGAGGATAGCACATCTGATATTTTAATAGGTAACTGTTAAGCTGAGTTCAGTAATGATTTCAGTGGAATGGGATGTAGGTCAAGCGGTCAATTATAAAGAGAAAAGAATACTTTAATTGTGATAAGATTGGACTTGATTTTTCAGGTGACTGAGTTTTGTTCATAACCTTAAACTAACCGATAAAAGTCAAAAAAAAAAAGAGTATTCACCTTAAAAAATATGCCATGCAAAGGGTTCATTGAAAATGATGAGGTTAGCTGTCAGTGGTTCTCAATCGGTGTAGTAATTTAAACTTGTTTAATCTGACTGATACAGGTGTACTAACGCTTCTTACTGTTATTGATTATAACTAAATGGAAACGAGGGTAAAATAAGCGTCAAGATTGATCAGAATAGGGTGTACCACTAATTTTATCAGTCACTGACTATTGATTTAGGTCAGAGAATAGATTGTAAACCTCTTGGCTTCAATCGGAGACCTAGGATAACACTACTCAAAATCAGTAGTATTAGTATTTATTGACTTATTCATGTTGCTTCAAAACTTAACCGCTTATTTACCTGCCATCCATCTATCTAAGTGGGTTAAAGATCTGTAGTGAAAATATATAACTCTACTATCGTTGATCTTGAAAGTATAAATTAGAAAAGGTGGATGGTTAATTGCTATTTTGGCAGGAAAAAAGTAAACCATATCGAAAATTTCTGAAGCATTGACTCTCTGTCTAATAATTTGAGTAGCTGAATTATCTGGTGACGATTCATAATAGCAAGAGAAGTTACTAGGTTATAGTTTTATGAAAATTGTCTCAAAACTGTTTGTTTTCTGCAGCATTTCTTCAAATTATCACGTTCACAGAAATTGCCACCGTTACACTAAAATCTTTTACTTGTAACCATATCTCACATTGACTTAATCAAGACCATGATAACTAATTTATGGTCAAATTGAATTATTTTGACAAATATATAAATGAATTGAGTATTATCTGTCAAGTGAAGTTCATCAATTTTATTGATGTTGAATTAAAAACAAGTTAAAATCACTTTTAAAATCTAGCCAAAGACCAATTCTATAAGAGATGCCTAGAAAAACTGGTAAAGTATATATATATATATATATATATATATATATATATATATATATATATATATATTTCTTCAATCATTTGGTTGATGTCTAGCCTGTTGACGAAAATAAAATGAAGTGGTTCAAATCTAAACTTGTCAATATTGCATATTGGTACCACACGTTCGCATTACCCCAGTCCACACTCTTCACTAAACGACATTGTTTACCTTTAAAGGAATTGAAAAACAAATCATAATTCTTCAACTTGACAAGGGCTTTGGAAAAGTTGTAATAAATTTCGGAAGAATATATCAATAAGAGGAAATTAACTATGAACCATGATCAAGATTTAACTGAATAGTAGAGCAAATGTTGGGGATTGAGTAAAAGGTTGATATTAGATGCAGTTTATTATTGTGTAAGTCACAGTATTTTAAATAAAATAATTCCAACGCTTATCGCTGAACTATGGTTCCAGCTTCCGAAGGGAAGTAGTCAAAAATTAAAATACCAAGGATATTGTTCTATTTTAAACATACCGTGACTTACACAAATATAAACTGTCTCTGTAGTATCTATTACCCGTATTATCCCAAAGTTGTGTATAAACGCAAAAATTCAGTCAACAAGAAATTTAATTTTCAGGTTCAAGAAAGTAAATTGATCAGAATCTACATTCTTTTATTTTAGAATTGATACTTAGATTGTTAAGCTGTTCCGTTCAGAGATTGTTTAAATCTTTGATCTTAACTTGGTGAGTATCATTTGTTGTTTTGATACTTGTAATTTCCCGTTAGTGTACAGGGCCGAATTGCTTGACCTCTGTTGGCAGATGAGCTGCTATGTGGATGCTTCGATTTGGCTGAATATTCATGATGTTATATTGATCTTGGTGACTAGCGAAGGAGTTCAGGACGTGCGTTTTTTCCTTTTTGGGACTCGTCAGTTAGATGTTCCTGCACTCCAGTGAGTGATATTGTTCCCAATGAGGCACCTATCGCTCCAAACTCCAAAGCTTTATCCACTATGCTACTGGGGCACGATAGCCACCACTAGTGATATGAGTATTAGCAATTGTTTTATTGGTACGTGTGATTTCCCGCCGCTATACAGGATCGAAACGCTCGACGTCTGTTGGTAGATGGGCTCCAAGATCAATATAACATCATGAATATTCAGCAGTATCGAGAAATCCATATCGGAGCCCATCTGCCAAATAGAACGAAACGTGCGTCTTGGATTTTTCTGCTAGTCACCAAAATCAATATAACTTAATGATTATTTATACTGGATGATGATTGAAGATGAGATGAAAATCTGGACCGTGGCTGCATTTGAACCAGCGACCATTGGGTTACCAGTTCGGTGCTCTACTAACTGAGCTGCGAGGTTCGACTGTTGACCTGATTTTAATTTCACTTCAATCACGAAAGGTTTTGTCCGACTACTATGTGGATTTGTGACGCGTTACTATCGCTTGATCGTATTCACTCTGGGTGCCTAGTCAGGACTTTTCATCCCAGCCCAAATCTAACCGAATCTGAGTAGAGGAGAAGCATTGTATTGATTATAACTTTGACTATCTGAGATAGGTTAATAACTATTAGTTTCATACGCATACATAAACTAGAAAGTCGGTGAGGAGTTGAACGTATTCACACTTTCGGTTCGTCACCTTGGTTAATCAAAACATAACATTTAATCTTTTCATTTATCAGTTTAAAATAAGCTTGATTGTACATGAAGTTCAATTCTGTCATATATGATGTTACCTATTTGTAAAATCTATCATAAGATTTTAGTGAAACCAGGATTACATCATGGATCATAAACAAATCACAAGTTCCGTGAAACATTTAGATAATCACTGATTTGAATCTGAACTCTATCATGAGTTAAGGTTGTTTATATTGTCATATTTAACTGTCTTAATGTGAATGCATGCGACTGACTAATATCTTACATATGTTAATAATCGATAAAAGTAGTTGAGTACGTCCGCATCAACTTCATAATCAGGATATTGTTTTAGATTGCATGCAATATTATCCATAATATATCGGTTGGCTAAAATTTTCACATTATGTACTTCTAACTAGGTGACGGCAAAAAATTAGACTTGTAGTTTATTAAACTATCTGAGGTAGCGTTGTAGGATAGACTGTTTTACATTTCAGAGATGATTATTGAGATTCACCGGTAAACTGTTTCAAATTTTATCGGAGCCGCAGTTTTCTGTTAACTTCGGTTTATCGTCTTTGGATATAAAGTAGATATGTTTCTTCCATAAATAAACCTTAGCTAGACTTATATATATTTGACGTCAGGTTTTTGGAAGATTTCTGCAGAAAATCATGAATTTAGGTTTCATACCTACTGATACTTTCCAGTAGAGCATATATGCAACCTCAGAGGACCTGATCCTTCCCCACAGATCCGAACTTGAGTCACTCATTCAGAGATATTACTACTGAGTCAATTGGGCTCTAATTTGTAACCTATAGAACTGGAGTAGATAAACTGACTAGTCAATGGAGAGGAACCCATTTCATGTTTGCCTAGTCTTAAGTGCTTACTGAATTCTATCGACCGATTTTAAAATCTGCTTACCAAGATAGCAGACTTATCAGTTACAAGTCGAAATATGAATCTTATAACTGGATATTATCTAACCAGGTGATTATCATATTATTTTGTGTATGTTTGCTTCAGCTGCGAGGTATGATCATCTTGACTCAGTAGTTCGAGAACCTGGAACGATTTGATTCCAGGGTATAACTGAACTAAACCACTGAAGCAGTCAACTTTTGTTAAGATTACCTTGCTCTGACTAAAACTTGATGCTGAGCAGTGTGAATATTGCTCAGCTACTCATATTGGTTAGTAATACATATCATTAGTAAAGGATTTATTTATTTACATCACTACTACACGGAACGCAACAGCACTTCCGTACTGAATATTTCGCTTCTCAGTTGTGAGAAAGTGCAGGTCTTTCCGCAAGCTACAGACATCCATACAGTCACTGCTGATAATATTTAATTTGAATCAAAATAGAATCCTTCCACTTCTGAAGTTGTACAGAACCTTGCACACAACTTGAACCGATGCACCTGTGTGCGAGGTTCTACGTTGATTTTGTCTGTCTGTTAGATTGCCGTTCAACATATGAAGTATTTATTTGTGTATCAGGGAGGAAGTATAATATGCATTTTCATGCTACATCGTCTTCTATTTATCTGTTCAGTGGACATCGACACTGACTTCACAACGTTGACTGAGGGTATACTACGCTTACTGGGTAGTCATATGCTTCCAGTTGTTTAATACATAGTCTAACCATTACGGCTGGTAGGAATTGAAACTTTCAACGGCTGATTTTTCTTCCGTACTTAGAATTCTACTTCTAATTTAGATATTGTCTATTTTTCAGTTTGGTCACAGGCAGGTAGTAGTGGCGTGGTAAGACTCATACCTTCACACTTCCTTATTCACAAAAATATAGGTTACAAGTAGTTAACAACACAGGTATTATCGAATAGCATTGATGACCATCTTTTTACTTCAGAGTTTAAGCATCTGAATATCAGTTCGACTTTTCTTTTATAACAGGAAAGAAATCATAACACACAGTTTTCTGAGAAAGAATACATACTACTCACTAGATTTATCCCCTCTTGCATAGGTTTAAATTTGAGTATTCTCGGTGCATATAGCTCTCTGTCTCTAAACTTGTAAAGTTTCCTTAATTTCTACCTTAACGTACTAATATACGATGTGGCAATTTCTTATATATATATATATATATATATATATATATATATATATATATATATATATATATATATATCCCAGGTATTTGATGTTAGTATAGTTCACCAGTAAGTAAAAATAACACATTTTAAAACAAAGCCTTTTAACTTGCGGGCGTCATGAAATATTGTAACTTAAGAATGTGCTCTGTTGTGTAAATAAGAGTAATTGAAAACAGCGTAATGATACAAAAAATGTAGACATTTGCTGTTAGGGAAACAGTTTCAGTCTTTGCTGTCCCAGTAAACTAAAGTATATACGTAAATTGAAAATGAATAGAATCTTTTTGTCTTTTCCCTTTTAGGCTCTGTTTCGACAGTCAGTAGTTAAAGTGATTTCTATGGACCAATGAAGTAAACACAGTTTGAACCCCCGTACAGCTATTCACTGAGACCGACAAACTTATGTGGGGTTGTGACTCGGTGGCTTAAGTAGTTGACCTCCAACCAGTCGGCTGAAGGTTCGCACCCAGCTCCACCTACCGAGGTTTGGGCAGCCAGGCAGTAGTATCATGGGCTCTCACACGATAAGCGTCAATCATTGCCCACTGAACGGATGTGCAAAAGGTTACTGAGTGGATTTCGATTCGACTCGATAAACTTATATGCAACTAATGTCAGTCCGTGATCAATACCAACCTAAAATCAATAAGTCCTCACAAACCTCCAAACCGAATTAATCTAGTTCTTATTAGTGACTTGTTTCGAGAGGTGCTTCGCAAAGTTCCAGTGAGATGTTGTGTTCAATAGAGCTAGCCAAGTCGAACATGACGACAGTTACTGAACGACGGCGTTGGATGGAGGTCGCGCTGTGTCGTGAACTGACAGAAGTAGGAAATATGGACCACTGGATCCCAACGCAGTGGCTCACTGGTAACGTGCTGGCCTCAGAACCTAAAGGTCCTGGGTTCGATCTCTGGTGGGTGGGTTCATGGATGCCCACTGCTGAAGAGTCCCATGCTAGGACGAAACAGCTGTCCAGTGCTCCTAGGTTTCCAATGTCTACCCAGCTCATATCAGTTCCTGATGAATACCAACCTGAAATCAATCCCCACAAACCCCCAAATTGAAATTTACATCCCATAAGTAAAATACACGACCGGATTTTGGATTTCATTGAAATTAAAATAGTTAGGTCAAGGTAGGTCAAAGACATGATGATTGTTTAAAATTAATAAACTAAAACGTACAGATTTCTACATAAGGTGTAACAGAATTCAAGTGTTTATGTATTTTTATAAGCGTCTGTTGTTCAAGGTTAATACAAAGAAAGTGTAATCTCTCTAAGTGACATCATGCATCGTAATGCGAAGGTCACTCGATAGTTTGAACCATCTGTTAGTAACTGAAAAGAATCATACCAGCTAATCATTTTGTTACTATTTATTGATATACCCGTAATTCTCCGTTGTTTTATTGTGTAAGCGTGTATGTACACAGGCACACGTGTGTCTGTCTGCGTTTACACATTGGAAGCTAGATAGATAGACAGACAAAAAGGAACGAACACAAAGTATACAGTGAGCAAATGATAGTAGATTTATAGATCGTCTTTTAAGTAGGTTGATCAATCTTCATGTAACATGAGAATTAATTCTAACTGTTTACTCATAGAGGTCGAACAATTCGATTCAATAAAACAACGGAGAATTACAATTACGTCAATAAATAGTAATAACTGCTACCCGATGTACAAGAGGTAGCTATCGTGCCTCCGTGTCATAGTAGACACGCCTTGGCGTTTGAAGCGATGGGTACGAGGTTCGAGTCTGAGTGAGAACAACGTCACTCACTGGGGTGCAGGTACATCCAGCTGACGAGTCTCAATTAGGACGAAACGAGCGTCCCGGATTCCTCTGCTAGCTACAACCAACTAAATCACCATAACTAGTCATTTTCTCATAAACAGATAGTAACAGAATTTGATACATTAACCTTTATTTATTTATTGAATTCAATTATAACTGAGGTCCTGCTAACAGTGGCTTGACCAGTAGTGATCAATATCATTCACTCACGTTAAACACTCATCTTCGACATTTGGGTACAATACTTTATAAACAGTACATAACCAAATATCATAGTGATCAAAATAACTCTGGATAGTAGGTTTTTGGCCATATTTTAAGGTTTGTCTCACTTTTCTCTTTCCCCTTATGTACACTAAAAAGCGTGTATTAAACTGTGTTATCAGACCCTCTTTAAAAATCAATAACTTCACACTTATTTTTCTCTTCTGTTTTATGCATGTTTTCTTTGGATTGTGCGCATATATTTCGCTTCACTGTTTAGGAGCTTTCTACTGAAGTCAGTAAACCTGTAAATGATGAACGATTAGACTTGGATCCATCAGTTGCAGTTTCACCTCATACAATGAAAAAACGTAAAACTTGGGCACAAAGAATCCGTGATTTAGAGCCAGTTGGCTGGATGATATTCATTGGAGATAGTGCACATAATTTTATGGATGGACTGTCTATAGGTGTTGGATTTTCTCAAAATATTGGCTTGGGTATAAGTTTAACATTAGCTGTTCTGTGCGAAGAAATTCCACACGAATTAGGTAAGAATTAATTTCATATGAATTATTGTCTAGTTTTACAAGTAATTATAATAAGTATTTGTTGATATACTTGTAATTCTCTGTTGTTATACTGGATCGAATTGTTCGACGTCTGTTGGCATATGGGCTCCAATGCGGATGCCCCGATATTGCCTAAATATTTATTATGGTAATTTACTTGGTTGTGGCTAGGATAGGAGAATCGAGGACACATCTCAAATAGGATGAAACACGCTTCCTGGATTCCTTTGCTAGCCACATCCAACCAAATTACCATAATTAATATTCAAACAATATCGAGGCATCTGAATAGGAGCTTATATGCCAATAGAGGTTGAACAATTCGATCCAATAAAACAACGAGAAATTACAAGTATATCAATAAGTATCTTCAACCGTTATTATGAATGCGTCGATACTGGCTTTTTTTTGAAAAAAAAGAGACAATTCTGTGATTGTTAGAGTATGGAAATAACTATCATTCAAACTGGAGTTAATATGAAACTGTATTACTGTCTTAGTGAACATTTTTTTTCAGCAAACACTAAAGAATTCTATTGAATTGCATTCAAACTATCGATACAAGATAATACAATAGGTCACTTGTGTTTGTTAAGCTTCAACACAAGTCCTTTTACAATTGCTATTTCGAATTACACGTTGAAAAGAATATAAATCTTGAATGTATTACATCATCGATGTTAGTAGTCTCAATTATAAATCATGAAGTCATTGAAATATTGTTTATTGTTTCATGACTTATTGAAATGTATTGCAAAAATTATTATTTTACATTATCATTGTATTTTGAAGTGTTTTATAACTTTATTTCTAAGCTTCATATATTAATGCTTATCGTTTATGAAGTGAAATATTACTTGTATCGGTGTATACTGTGATATATATTACTTGACTTGTCAAATATCAAATAAGGCAGAAGAAAAAGAGTTATCTGTTTGGATGGAAAAATTAAAACCTTCAAAACAGGCTTATATTGCATATTGATTACAAAGTTAATCACTAGTCTAGATAATTACTATTCAAATGGAGTTGATTTTACTAATATAATCTAATAGTGTTTTAAATTGATTTGTGAACAAATAGTCTTCAGGTTAGAATCTTACAGGTACTTAGGTTTTCATTTCAATCAGTCATCATTCCTTTACATTGAGATCAGTTTGACAAGCCAGAACTATCTCAAGCAATCTAATCAATAATTTCAGTAAGATATATTACTTCATATCAATACAATGACAAGTAAGAAATATATTGTTAACTGAGTAATAAAATTAAACCAGAAACTACAATTCATGTAAAGATTATTGAATTTATTCCAATGACTTGCTTAACTGACTACTGTTCAGTACTATGAATTGCTTACATCATTTATTATTTGGTAGGCTTTTCTAGTGTAAATAAAAATGAGAGAAAAGAATTTAAGGACTTACACATAGGCAAGAGAATAATCTGCCAATAGTGATCTTGTAACAGTCAAAGAATCACAAGATCATCTACACCCTAGCGATTAAATAACCTTTACAGTGATATTTACCTTATGCTATACGAATTCAACTTATGGTTATATTCAAATAAATTTCTATGATTACTTAGTTTTTTGTATTTATCATCTTGTGAAAACACAATTAATGGCGCTTTCGAATCTGATGTAAGTGTAGTAACATAAGAGATATAGTTGATTGTTGAAAACTTACTGGTGATGATAATCTGAGTTACCCAGTAGTCTATTATTTTTCCTTAGCTGGGTTACATTAAGTGCATTGCAATCAGTTGTTAGAATTTTTATTATTACTTTGAACTATATTGTGTATGATTTGAATATACATAACCAAATCTTAAATGTTTAATAAATTTAATACTTTTAAGTGTAATTTCAATTTTATCCTCAAGGAGATATTGCTGTCCTCTTACGCTCTGGTTTAAATGTACCATTGGCTATGGTGTTTAATTTTGCTTCTGCATGTACAGCTTACATAGGATTCTTTATTGGGATATCTGTCGGTGAATTATCTCATGTAGCACCTTATGTATTTGCTGTTACGGCTGGCTTCTTTTTGTATATTGCACTTGCAGATATGGTGAGTGATTGATTCTATCTCTGTTGATATTTCTTAGTTCTAACTTTAACCGATTGTTTTTTTTTAGCAGTATCACTTTTTCCTTGTTCTTTAGTATCAAAATTTATAAACATTGTAGTTTTTAATCGTCTCAATGCTGCTGTAAAATGATGTCAAAAAATGAAGTTTTAATGAAAACTGAATAAATAGTTCACCCAGTACATTGACTATATCGTCTATAATTGACTTTGTCACAGATGCCATATGAAAGACGTTTAGACGTTAAGTTGATAATAGTAATATCCATTTTGATAAAACATGTTTACGAAACTTTTATTAAATAGATTAATAGAAATTGTCAAGCGATACCTTCCAAATATGCAACTTCTTGGGATCAGTATTGAAAAAAAAACGGAAACACGAATAACTTCGTAAACTTTCAGGTTAGTATTCATTGCAGACTGGCATCAGTTAAAGAGTCATTGGAAACCTGGTAGCAATGGACAGGTGTTTCATCCTAGTAAAAGGCTCCTCGGTAATATGCATACATGGCTGCGACAAAGATCCGACAAAAGATCTTCAGGTTTCACCCATTCACCCACTGGGTCGAAGTTCAATGGTTCACAGTTTCTAACTTCTATTGATTCAGTCCATCAGTGCATGATGAACACTACCTCAAAATTAAAATCTCCATAAACCTCAAAATACATTACTGTATAGTGCTCATTAGTGACATGCTTCCAGATGCATATATCACAAAGTTGTAATGACAAGTTGTGACCTGTGAGGTTAACCGGTCGGAAGGGAAGCGGATGCCAATTGAAGACCTTGATCGATAGTCGCACTAAATCGTAAAGTGAGATAAGTTGGAAACTGTGAAGCATTGAAATCCGATGTAGTGGCTGAATAGTTAACTTGTTCGTCGTGAAACGTGATGGTCTTAGGTTGGATCCCTAGTCGGATTATGAGTATGCACTTCAGAGGAGTCGCATAGTAGGACGAGAAAGCTGTCTAATGTTCCCAGGTTTTCAATGATTCCCCAACTGATGTCAGTCCATGATGAATACTACCTCAAAATTGGTATACCTCATTCAAATATCGTCTAATTGAACATCTCAATACAATATGTTTACACAAAAGTGTACGTGGGAGGTCGGATCAGTCCTTGTGGCTAAATGGCTGACTAAATTTCGGCACGGATACAAAAATCTTGGTTGGCTTTCGCCAACTTACACTATCTGTGACACCATCGACGATATCCGCTTGTCTACTAAGGGCTGAATGTACTGTGCTACAGTTCTCTCGTTTCTACTTTATGGCTGTGAAACAAAGCCATTAAAGGCAGAAGACATGAGAAGGCTTCAGGTGTTTGGCCACCGTTGCTTTCATAGCATAGGCTGTGTTTCGCGGTGTTACCATGTGAGTAACGCAGAAGCCAGACATAGAGTTTTAGGGAAGGAGGAGAGGTAAGTAAGTTGGTGTGGTTGTGAACCTTCATCGACTGAGATGACTGGGATATGTATTACGTACACTTAGCCACTGTCTGCTTCATCACACAATGTTGGTCGAAATAGGTTTAGGCTGGAAAAAAGATCACCGTGTCCAGACTACAAAATGTCATCCTTGCTTGAAGTTCTTGACTGTTGTTTTGTTCCATATATGTCGATGCAGGCTAGCCGGTTGGGGTCTGCGAGACAAGAGAAACCAGTGATTAGAGACTCTAGGTGATATCGCTCAGAACCGATATCAATGGTGCAGATATATACACACATTATCTTCATCTTTACCGCTTTACTTAATCTTATCATTTTCTCATTCCCTCTGCTATTTTACTCCTTCCTACCTTTTTTGACCAATTTTTCTTTCCTTCTTCGTTATCCATTTCATTGTCTTGTTACTTGATGTACTGATGAGTGGTGTGGCACCTGGGACCATTACGCAGTAATGATGGTCTTATGGTGAAGGTGATGATGATTCATATGTGGCTATGGATTGTAGTATGTCTAAAGGCTAACATTGTGTTTGCTAATTCAGTCGGTGTATTAATACTGTCACGTAAAGAAACCCTGTTTTACACTCATATATACAGTACTATCCCCAAATGTCTTCGTAGCATTGCTCGCGGTTCGTGGAATCATCGTGGGGTTGGTCGGACCATGACGTGGCACCAGTTTTGGAAGTCTCTGACTGTTAGCTTGAATCACGTGAAGAGTTATACACTACCTGCGGTCTCGAGACGAAAGGAATCAGTGGTTGAGGACACCTGTTAACATGGCTGGAAATTAGTCACAATGGCCCAGATGTCTTTGCTACTTGACATCTAAAGCTTGAATACCTACACTAGCCGGCGTCTTCAGATTGTCTATTCTTTCATACTATTTTATCTTCTTTGATATCACTATTTTATATCCACCTGCTCTTTGTGTACTACTGTGACGTGTGGCAACCTGAGCCTATGCACCTGTATGTGAGGTTCCACATTGATTCTGTCTGTAACACTTCAAAATATCACGAGAGTAAAAAATCAACAAGAATTAGAAGTGACTGATTTGATAATGAAAACGAATATGATTGAAGTGTAGAACAAAAGGTTGTGATATTCAACATCTAGAGAAAAGCAAGGGTTGGCTATATCTGCCTCATTTGTAGTAAATGGGTTGGTTACATCTTAAGAAAGTTTACACTCCCCTACACAACACAGATCGGTTCTATTTTTGGTATAGATCCTGGTTTACTGCTAACACGCATCATGTAAAAATGTCATTGCGACACGCGCTCACAAATAGGTTAATCATGATTTCAATAACTAGCGGAACATCTTATCACTCCAGTGACATTGTTAATTTTACTACTTTATCGTATAGTGTTTAACAATGAAATCCAGGACGCAAGTTTCTTCCCAGTTGGAACTCGTCAGTGAATATTGTTGTTTCCACTGAGACTGGAATCCAGAAATCATCGCTTCAAATGCCATAATGTTATCAACTAGGCTATCCAGTCGTGGTAGCCAATCGTTTTGCGATGGGTTAAGCTTTGATGTAATTTTCTATCGTTGATTGGATCGAATTGGCCAATCGCCATTGATATATGAACTCTTATGTGGATGTCTTGATATTATCGATTACTTCATTTGATAATAATGATGAATGGTGGATAACAGTTGGAATTAGAGATTTCATGGATTTCACAATGGTATACTTTCGTCGATATATTTTCATACTACTCATATCTATATTTTAATGAAATGCAATTTACTGTTTTCTTCAGCTTCCTGAGATGCGTGCAATGGAGGATGCGAAAAGATTAGAGACCGATAGTATTTGGGGCATATTCCTGACTAATCTTGCCGGTTTAACCTTTGGCTTTGGATGCATTATAACAATCACATTAACTAGTCAGTACATTAATATTGGATAATTGTGAATGATAATAATAATTATTATAGTTGTCATTAATTATTATTATTATTACTGATGTAATACAAATTCAATGATGACAACCAGATGATTATACTCATTGTTAACTTGATCATTTCATACATTTTTCTGTGTGATTTTTCCCGGTTTTTACCCTATTCTTTTTTTTTATATTGACGATGTCTGTTATTATGCTTCAGCTTGGATTTGTACTCCAATAACAGACCAATTGCAAGCTTCCACTTCGAATCAATTATAACCTATCAACATCGATTTTCTGCCCTTTTTTTTATGAAGGTGTAGAACATAAGTTTTTCACTGACAACATCTATTTATCTTCTTCTTTATCTATCGGTTTTATCTTTGTACTTTATATGAAGTCGCTCAGTGTGAATTTATTGATTATTTTATCGTTGGTATTCTACTCGTTTATATCTTCTTTTTCTGTTTGTTTCGTTGTTTTAGTGTCTTTTTTATTCGCTTCTCTGTTTGTTTTTTTACTGTAATCACCAATATCATGGATGAAATTACTCTGATTGTACTGCTACTACTCCTATTTTGGAAAAAATGTCATTTCTCACTAGAATGTATAGATTATAAATAGTATGTGAATCCAGAAAGGCCTTTGCAAGTAACCGATGTATGTGTATGTGTGTACATATGTGTGATATGCCGTTTTGTACAAACATATATACACTTCTATATACTGTCATTTCATTGTGATACGGTTTTATGCTAGACCTATACAGTCTTTTGCCAGTTATTCAACTTTTAAACACCATCTTGTTATTACTATTAGTTTTGATCCAATATATTTCACTGTATTTCTGTAAGAGAAAGAGAATTTATTGGTGTTTTTAACTTGCACTCACTGTAATCTATGAGCAGCCTGATCCTCTGTGATAGAAGTAATTTTTCTTCTACATAAAGATGCATTACGAAGGATTTTTTGCTCTCATTTACAAATAGATATTAACACACACACCACTGTTCATTGGTCAGAAAGTGTTGAGTGTATTCGGTGTTCAACTTCCCTTATGTGTCATGGGCTAAAATTTTAGAAACTTTAAGACATATTGATAGTTTAATGATTCACTTTCAAAAGGTTTCACACTTATTCTTGCTTCAACTGCTATTTTCGAGAATATAATTTGCGTCTATTATCATTATGTACATCTTCGTGGCAGACTTCCGTCAAAAGGAACACTTTGCATATGTATATGTCAACATTTTAAATAAAATAAACTATGCAGTAACGTATAGAGTAAGTTACCTTCTAGACAGAAATTGTACTAAAGGAGTTATTCTTTTTCTTTCTATTCAGTATAATTTTGACTGTCTGAGACAACCATAGTTTGGCAGATTAGTATTCATACTGGGTGATGACTGAAGGAAAAATGAGAATTTGAACCACGGCTGGATTCGAACCAGCGTCCACTGGATTGAGCAAAAACCCTTGGTGATTGAAGTGAAATAAAAATCTGGTCAGCAGTCGAACCTCGTTGCTTAGTTGGTCGAGCACTGGGTCGGAAACCCGGTGGTTGCTGGTCAGAATCAGGCCGCAGCCCATGCTTTTATTCACTTTCTATTCAGTGTTTGCACATCATAAAGTTGTCATTTAGGAGAAGTTACGCTCTCTTTCTGAATTGACATTCATTGCATACAGTGCAACGAATCTTAACCATTCATAGCACATATGCCTTAAGTTAATAACTTTTGTTTACTGTCATCAGCTCATTTTCCGTTTGCTGGGACTCCCACTTGCCTTTCTAGAATTCATCACATTGGTTGCTCTATATAGACTGAAAAAGAATTCTTCCAAACGCCGTTAAAAATGGTGTTATGTAGTTGTAGAAAACAAAAACTTTTGCATATAGTTAAATAGTTGACGTAAATTGCATTTCAGCACTACAGATAACTGGATTTTCTATTACATTACATTATAAAGGTGTTGTGTCAAGTTATTACTACTATTATTATTCTTTCCCCATAGAGTTTAACGACTTTCTGTGCCAGGCAATAGCACTACTTCAACTTATTTATGCGTAGGAATTAAAGAAAAACGTTTTTCCTAGAGATAACCCATATGAGAATTATCTTCATGACTTCCCGAATGAGAAAACTGTTTTAATGTCTATGAAAGTGAATTCTAAACTTTGCTAGGATGATTTGTTCTATTTTGTAGTGATAGAATTTTGAAGATGTAAAACAACAATTACACTTAATAGACAGCATAAAATAGTATTTCATAAATTATCTGATCGAAATTTTTTTTTTTCAAATTAATGTTTTAGGTGATCGAAATAATTGTGTAGTGGGAGAAACGGTTTTCTGATAAAGAATTATCAACATCATAGTTATATTGCACCGTTAAGTTGAGTAATGTAGTAAAGTCAGTGAATTTAGTTCAGTTGAAAAGTTGTAAATGTAATGGCAAGATTAAATACAGATGGTCTAGTGATAGTAACAGAGACCAGACAAAGATTTCAAGTGTTCAGTCTCCATTATAATGAATTGTTCGGACGTTTCTTGAACAACAGATTTCAAACTTTAAAGTATCAATTATCGTAACTTCTGCAACATAAAGGTTTTCATGAACTGTATACATTATAATAAAATTACCTTTTGGGTTGATCAAGTGCCTAGAACCCACCAACTACTACACAGTGTAACTATGAAATAGTCTTATTCTGCGTAGGACCAAGCTGGTTAAAGCCCAAAGATAAAACTGATTGCACCAAATATATCTTATTCCACAGGTGCAGGCGAAACTAATCACCTTATATCTCGGTGTTTATTAGGGTTAACTTATTTTTAATGGATACTTAAAGCATTAGAAGGGTGGCGAAAGTCTTTTAGTTCAGGGGCGTAACTTCTATTGTTCAGTTCATGGGCACCTTATCTTACACTGACAACCACTGGTGAATACACTATCGAAAGATATATTAACTTGAACTCTTTCGTCTTCCAATGCTTCTGTAGGACAGCAAGCATACGGTACAATAATATGTATTATTTTAATCATTCAGGGAGAATGGTAAGCATGTTTCAACACATCTGATTAGTTAAGGTACAGTTTTCGTTTAAAACAGAAAAGTATGATGCCTCATTGTTTACAAACCTATTCATAAAAGGAAAATAAGGTTACAGTAAATGCATTTACTTTGAACAGGATTGGGCGTGTATTTAAAGCGCAAACAAGTTCAGAATCAATGAAAATGATCTTATCAAACTGGGGAAAATCCAGGGCAATTATAAAAGTGAGGTCATCTTTGTAATACTATACTGCGTAGGCTAATGATAAAAACGTTTATAGTGCAATTTAAAAGAACAAAACATTATAGGAAGAAAGTTTTTTCGAGATGAAATCACAATCAAAGAAACTATTAATCGATATAATGTTAGCAAGAAGAGATGGTGAGACGCCTAAAAGCCCTACTTATCGAAAACCTACGTGGAATAGATAGGTAAAAAACTTTCACAGGCGGATTCGCATCAGCCAAAAAGGAAACTTATTTCATTCTCTTCTTGAATCAGGAAAATTTGTACTCCGGTCACTTTAGAAGACTAAATTCAACTTATAAGATTGATATCCAGAAAAATGCATAGATAGAAATCTACATCTGAATACTACCCATGAGCCTCCTGTCAAAGTAAAGAAGAAAATGCTCATTTTGAGCTTGGATTTCAAGTAAGAAGCAGCAGATTAGATACTTAAATGCAGACTAATGAAGGTTGTCAAAAGAACTCCGTAAATCGCGCCAGTCACCCAATAGTCAAAATGTATGTGAATGACAAACTATGACTGTTAGCCACTTGAATGTACATATACCGATTCACCTGTTTCTCTGGAGTTAAGTACATAGGTCGTACACAGAGGCAAACTGTCGAATGTTGATGCTAGCTCCTTCCAGCATGGTTTAATACAGGCCAATAAACAGTTCCATATCACAACATTTGATTGACTGTGGATACATTTCCAGAAGACTCGTTTGCAGCAGTCTACAAAGTGCAGTGTTATTTTTTGAAGGTAGTGAGAAAATGTTTACTTTGGATTGCAGAAACTTTGGCAATACAACAATAGGAACCGGGATTGTGTATACAGAAGCGACTCTGCCACTCCCTATTCTTATACACTTCTTAATTCTTAAACTTCCCATCTCTTATCTCTTACACAATTTCCATTCCTATATTATTTTCATGGCCACAAACAAATAATTAGTGGATAACAAATATTGACATTCTTATGAGCACTCACGATATTTAAATGTGATTGTGAAGCTGCAGAAGGTAGATTGGCCGGAAACAAATTTATTCACTCAATTCTTTATTTTTTTTACTCATAGAGCTTGTTTGTATAAGATTCTAAGTAAAAGCACAATCGCTTTAAAAATATCTGTTTTCAGTAACTTTATTACAAAACTATACTGTGATATTTACAATAGCTAAAGAGTCAGATACTCAATAATAGACAATTTCGCAGTCAATACTCATGGAATATAAGTGATGATGATATGTATGTGTCTGTTTAAGAGAGGCTGTCCAAATAAATAAAAAGTGTTATACTACGAGTTGTTCAGTCGGTATGTACGTGATATGAATAGGAAGGGGAAATTGCTGGGTAGGACAAATGTCATTAAGGAAAGAAACTGACCTGCAAAGATTGGTAGAACACTTGTCAAGCACTGTCAAAAAAGGTGTGAACTGATGATAATAGTGATCGTAACAATGACGACAGCGAAATAACAAATGGAAGTGAGATAAAATGAGTTTGAAGGGGCAGTATTAGGGTGAAGACAGAGTAAGTATTGTACAAAACGTTTTTCAAACACAGAGTTTAGGTTTTCCTTCGTATATAGCAAGTGCTTCAGCTGTACAGAACTTCTGAGAGCTTTATCCTTTAGGGTGGGTTAGTTTAGCTCTATAGGTAATTCTGAAAGCCAACTCAAAAGGAGCTGAATGACTTGACTCTACAAGGTTTCGTAGACGGAAAATTTCTTTGATCTAATATCACCTTTCAGTAACCAGACCTGACAGCGTTTGAGAACACGTTTCTGTAAAACCCGCTTCCAACTTATACTTAAGTCGGTTTCACAGGACTATGTAAGGAGGTAAATAAGCATTCAATTCAACATTAGCGATAAACTATCCGCCACACATTGTTAAATTAACTGTCTACTCGAGAACACTAAAAATAAGCTAGCAGAATAGAAAGTGTTTTTGAAGCATTTTCGATAAATAGCTCTTAAGTATTTGGGCTGAACTACACGTTTTTACAGTGATAATTCAAATCTTAGTAAGTAATGAGATACGGTATGGGGTAATTCTGTCCTTGAAGTCTTTATGAATAAATCTTTTATTGTATCCACCACTCAACAGCACTGTTCCCAGAGCATCATGTTTCCCTTCAATAGTATTTTTTGTAGAAAATCTTCACTGTCATAAGATAGCGGAAGATTAACGTTTCTCGTCCAGAAAAGAGGCACCTAAATATTAAATTTAGTGGAGTACCCAGTAAAGATGTGAGGCTACGTGCAGCGAACTGTCATCTCTTTGTTTCAGCATCACATCGATGCAACTAAATGTAGGATTCAACTACCCTTCAGTCTTAAAATGTGTAAACTAATGGAGATCAATGAGTAATATAAGGAGTTACTTAATTTATCTGTCTCTTTATGTCGTTTCTTATAACTTCCTACCGTTTATGGCACCGAAGTGATCGGTCTCTATTGTTACGTGGGCTATTGCCTACATGCCTCAATACTGATTGTAGTTTCATTTTGGTAGTAATAATGGTTAGTGACCAGCGATGGGTTCCAGGACGCGCGTCTCGTCAGCTGAATGTACCTGATTTACAGTGAGTGATTTTGTTCCCACTAAGACTTTACCCCAGGGCCGATTGCTTCAAACACCAGGGCCTCTCCCACTAAGCCACTGAGTTGTGACACCCACTCGTTGTGCAACGGGCACAGTTTTTACATGGGAACAACATCACTCACTGCGGTAAATGTACATCCAGCTTACGAGTTCCAAACCGGACGAAACGAGCATTCTGAGTTCCTCTGCTACTCTCACTGAAGTAAATTACCATAATAAATATTCCGGTAATGTCGAGGTATCCCCATAGAAGCCCATATTTCAGTAAAGGTTGAACAATTTGACCCAGTATAATAACGGATAATTGAGAGTATTTAAAGAAATAGTACTACTGCTTATGTTATACTGCCGTTGACAGGACAGAATTGATTGGTCTCTATTGGCATACTGGCTCCTGTGCAAATGCCTCGATA